TCTGTGAGGTATTGGTTCCAGGTCACCCTGTGGATACTAAATATCTGTCGGTGCTCAAGCCCATTATACAAAGTGGTGTAGTATTGGCAAATAATCTAAGCACAGCTTCCTGTATACTTAAAATAATCTCTAGATTATTATACCAAATAATACAATGTAAATGGTATGTAAATAATTATGAAGAAAATATAGCTTTATTTAAATAGTTTCTGGCATGACACAAATTCAAGTTTTTCTTTATGGAACATTCTCAAATTATTATTATTTTTTTATCTGAAGGAGACTGATTCTGCAAATGTGGAATCAGCAGATGAGGGCTGATTGTCACTTTACCACTTTAAATTTAAGCTTTTTATGTATCTTGAGTTAACTTTGCATGTGATATGAAGCAGGGATCCAATTTCATTTCTCTTAGAAATGAAAAAATTTCACTGGATAGACAATTGCCTGGCACCACTTTCTGAAAACAATTTTTCCAATTTAATGTTGCCCACTGTGGTAAAAAAAAACCAGTGGATGTGTCTTTTCACATTAGAGTTTTGCTCTGGATACACGCCCAGCAGTGGGATCTCAGACTTTTCTTGCTTCTGACCTAAGCAGAAGGTCACTATGTGGAACCTACACTTCAGGAGAGGGGGCTTTAGTTCCACCTCCTTGATGGATGTCATGGATTATTAGGAATTCTTCTGCATAGGAGTTCTCCATTCAATCCCATCTATTCAACAACAACAACAACAACAACAACAACAACAACAACAACAACAACAACAAAGAAAACCCAACAACCTATGTCATCATTTAACTTCACCATTGTGGACACCTGAATAGTTATTTTAGTCTTTTGGTTGTAATCCAGCACTACAGGTTTGGTTGCTCAGCTTATTCCTGCTTTGGCCACTGAGAACTCTTCCATTGGCTCCTGCTTCCTTTGAAGTCATTCCATATTTTGGGTTTTTTCTTCCTTGGTACTTCCTTACTTTCTGATACAAGATTCAAGATGATCCTGGCTCATATATTGACTGTCTCAGTCCTAGTATAAGCCATTTCTTCAAAGATTCCTGATTCCTTTAATTAAAGAGTGGTATTAAGAACTTACATATGGGAGGAAAATGTTCTCATCTGACAATGCAAGGAAATGTGTGCATGTGTTCCCACCTTAGTGTATTGTTGTTGTTCAGGGACCACCACCTGCCCCCCCACCCCAATCTGCCTCAACCACATAGTGTTTTAAATTTAAGTTACTTAGGGATGGCCAAAGCAAGAGGGACACTCTGACCCCTGCTCTATCTCCCTAAAAGCAGGAAATAAGCCTGTCATGTGAAAGGTTCAGAGGCGCATATAAACATAACTTGTAACTTTTTAAATTTACAACCCCAAGGCCAAACTCTGTTTAGACTCTTCATTGAGTACCCAAAAGTTACACTTCTTTGGGCTGTCAATTCCTAACAAATTTATAGTTTTCTAGATGTATAAAATCTGCCTGCTTTCACTACCTCTTACTTCTCATTTCTATGAGACTTTTGTGTGTAGGAATTAAAATGTCTTTTTCTTCTGCTGCTCTGTCTTGTGTTAGTTTTGTTATTAGTCCAGCCACAAGAAGTCAAGAGGGAGAGAGAGTGAAATTTCCCCCTTCCCAATAGTATACACTCCTAATTATAAAGATTTCTATGTGGAAATGTCTGTATTCATATTAAGCAGAAGATGGGTTTATACTGATGCCTCCAACTTGATCCATTATCTTATGGACAGTGTACATCTCCCCCCTGCTTATCTGTAACTCCCAGTCAGACAGTAGAATCCTGGTTCCCACCATCTTCAGTCCATTCAATTCATTTCTCATTCTGCTCCAGATGAGTGGTTTCAGTGTTCTT